CGATGTCAATTTTCCACAGAATACTCCTATACCTGGCACTTACCACTTGAAAACTTTCATTGAAGAATCCCAATTAAATCCAGTGATAACAACCTACAATTTTAAAAATGAAGGAAGGAAAAAGCCACCTCTTGTGCAAAGAAACAATCCAGTTCTAAATGATCTTCCACACTATATACCTCCTGACTTCCTGGACCTGTTAAAGAAGCAAATGGCTACTTACTCATTCAAAGACAAACCACGGCCAAGCCCCAGCACACTAGTTGACAAAGATCAGGTAAAGCACTACTAGCAGATTGCTTTGTATGTGAAAGCTACTAAGAGGCCCTGAGGAAAGTATTCTTTATACAGAGAGTATATCTTCCCCGAGAAATGGAGAACCTTTAAGATGTCTTATTTCCTATAGAAATCAAGCAAGGACTGCCTGATTTGCAAATGTGTCCAGTATGATTTTTCCCTGTAATGTCTTCTTAACCTAAGTGAGGGAGTACATGGGGAGAAATTTTTCCCTCTTGAGCAACTCTTAGCAGGATTCCCCTAGCCTGGGGAGCCCCAGGATCTTATCTGTCATTGGGCCATGCTCTGGTCTCTTTAAAAGCAGTATATGTGGTGAACCCTCTTCTTTTAAAGAGAAAACCCTGCCTCTCAGTGAGTTATCAGAGCATAAATATAACTACATACCATAGGGAAGCTTTTAAAAACTTTTCTTATAGAAATGACCCCATCTCTACAAAAAATAAATAGCTGGGTGTAGTAGCACATGCCTGTGGTCCCAACTACTCTGGAGGCTGAGGCAGGAGGATCGCTTGAGTCCATGAGTTTGAGACCAGCTTGGGCAATATAACAAGACTCCATCTCTTTAAAAAAAAAAAAATTAGCTACTTGGGAAGCCAGGGCAGGAGGATCCCTTGAGCCTGGGAGTTTGAGGCTGCTGTGAGCTATGATTATGCTACTGCAATCCAGCCTGGGTGACAGAGTGAGATGTTATCTCTAAAAATATTTTTTTTAATTAAAAAAAAGAAGTGAGCACGTGGTCCCAGGAGGGTCAGCTTCTACTCTCAGCTCCACCAGTTCATTCGTAGCATTGACAAGAGTACTGCTATGCTCCCAGCTCTGCACTAGGCTCTGTGGAAGGAAGATATTCCTGACCCAGAGGTATTTAAGCCAACAAGACAAGACAGAGTTTATCAAGTGCTCAGATAAATAGTGGAACTGAAAATGCCAAAGGAGAGTTCAAGTAGGCTGGATTAAAAGGCTGGAAAGCTCCGTGGCTTAAGTAGGACTTAACTGGACCTTCACTACTACATGTCTCTTATGTGGCTCTTAATGGTTTACTATGGGCTTCCATGTATATTCTCTTAGTTGCTTCCTTCTTAAGCATTCCAAAATAGGTAGAACAGATTATTAACTCCATTTTACATGCAAGAAAACTAAGGTGAGTAGAGACTAAGTAACTTGTCCAAAGGCACCTTGCTAATACTTAAGTAGGTGAAGCAGCACTTTTAACTGAGGGCTTCTGCACCAAAATTTAATCCTCTTTTCATGTGCCCCTCACCTTGAATAAGGAGCAGGGTTTGGATTGATGGAATCCAAAGGAGTTATTTCAAGGGAGGAGTACAGCATTGTTGAAAGCATGGAAATGGCAGGAACATGGTCTGTTCAAGGGATAGCGTTCAAGGGATAGTTGGACTTTGTTACTTGAGACTTTGGGTACTTGTCTCAGTTCTTTGTGCATTAATATTTCCCATTTATAAAGAAACTAATAACAGTATCGTATCTTTATAACTTCATCATAATATTATTGTGATAACCTGAGAGAAATGTATTGCAGCTGGAGGTTGAATTAAGTACAAGGGGTTGTAATTACTAAAGTGGACACAAAATTTTCAACAGGATGAACACATGTCAAACCCAACACGTAGACCTTTCTACTACTTTGTAAATTATAGCTTTGAAACAGAACAGAATGATAAATGTTCACTGGGTAAATCTTACTCTGTTTGCTTCAGTGGAGGCATACAAACTCTAAATCATACTAGCACATTTATGGCTTGCTATCAGGTAACCTGGCTACGTGTGAAATTGTTCTGGCCATCTCAAATGCAAAGTCTTTATTGCTTATTCCTTCTGCCATTTCCTTTTCTGCTTCCTCTCTTCTCGCTTTTACGAGTCCCTGAAAATCAGCCAAAGGCCCAGTGTTGAAAGGAGAAAACGTACAAGGTTTTAGTTATGCAAAGTTTTAAAAGACCAAAAGAATTTGGCTTACTCAAGAGGATGGATAAAACCTTCTGAAAACAGTTTTCCTGTTCTTCTTTCCTTTCTACCTCCCACAAATGATTAAACTCCACATACTGGAAAAATTCAGTGTTTTCTAATTTTCTATTTCAAAGATATATATGTTCACAAGGGGAAAGATACTCAGATGTAACATCGTTTGCTCACCAGTACAATTCATAATTCCAATATTTTAGTAGCAGAACTCAGTAGAATAATTTGAATTTGGGGTATAGTATGTATTATTGTTATTCATTAAGCTAGAACAGCATTCTCAAACTTCTTAATTTTTCACAGAATATCCATTTTGTATCTTTCAGTGGCTTTTTATTTGTAATAGTTTTCACCATTTTTAATGCCTTTATTCTGAAGCATGTAACTCAAGAATCTATATTGAAGAGCCTTTTTTTTTTTCAACTTCTATTTTAGATTCAGGGTCTATATGTGCAGATTTGTTACCCGTGTGTATTCCATAATGCTGATTGGGGTACGATTGATCCCATCACCCAAGTTCTGAGCATAGTACCCAATGGTTAGTTTTTCTACCCTTTCACCCCTAGTGAAGAGTGTCACTAGTCTTATTAGTCTTATGGGATTATAGGCATGAGTCAAGTGCAGTGGCTCATGCCTATAATCCCAGCACTTTAGGAGGACGAGGCAGGTGGATCACTTAAGGCCAGGAGTTCGAGACCAGTCTGGCCAACATGGTGAAACTCTATCTCTACTATAATAAAAATATGAAAATTAGCTGGGCATCTTGGCACAGGTTTGTAAACCCAGCTACTTGGGAGACTGAGGCATGCAAATTGCATGAACCGGGAGGTGGAGGCTGCAGTGAGTCATGATTGTGCCACTGCCCTCCAGCCTAGGCGACAGAGCAAGACCCTGTCTCAGAAAAAAAAAGGAATGTATATATATATAGGTATTTGAGTGTGTGTATGTGTGTGTGTGCATACATATGCTTATCTATATTTTCCCCTTTCCAAAGAATATTTTAGGTGGCCCCATAATTTTTCTAATTACCTTTTTCTTAACAGATAAATAGTATATCCTCATTGTAGAATATATGTACACAAATGGGACCACCTCTCTCCATATGTACAGTTTTATGACCTACTTTTCCCCCTAGTGTTGTAGTCCCCCGCTGACCCCTGAGTTACTCCCCTTACTCCTTGCTATTAGCCCCCTTCCTTCACTGTCACTCTTTTCACTGCTTATATCATAATTTCAGCACACACATAGATGATCTTCCAACAACCTGGCTTCTCAGTTTCTTGAACCTTCCTCTACCTCAGCCACTCACTCCTTCGATGATTTTCAAGACCAAGAATTTCACAATCTCTACATGAATTCCCCTCTCTGACTAATATCCAATCCTAACAATTTTTCCATTCCCCACAGGCTATAATTGCAGTCTATTGATTCTCCCACCTTTTCACTACCTCGCAACCCCTGTCATCCTTGCAAAGCTCCAATCCCATAGTTAATCATTATAGCTACTCTCTGCATACACTGTCAATTCCCTTGCCCCTCATTTCTCATCTTTTACTTGTTTGGCAAAGCCACAACCCTGGGTATGTCTCTCTTTGTATTAATATCTACATCCATGTAGCTGGATGACTGGTCTCATGCTAAATTCTCTACCTCTAATGGGCACTGAATGGACTTCTCTAGTCCATTTACTTTCCCACTCTCTTGGGTGGTTTTATCTTCTATACATCCTTTATGTATTTATTTTATTTATTTACTTATTTCAGACACCCTATCACCAAGGCTACAGTACAGTGGCACAATCATAGCTCACTGTAACCTTGATTCCCCAGGCTCAAGCAGTCCTCCCCCTCAGCTTCCTAAGCAGCTGGGACTATAGGCACACACCAGCCACCGTGCCTGGCTAATTTTAAAATTTTTAGAAGAGGCAGTCTCATTTTGTTGCCCAGGCTGGTCTCAAACTCCTGAGCTCCAGTGATCCCCCCGCCTCATCCTCCCAAAGTGCTGGGATTACAGGCATGAGTCACGCACCCAGTCACTCTCCCCTCTTTTCAAACCTCCTACATCCTCCTACACGTCCTCCTCCATCCTCATTTTTGGTTTTTCTTCTCAGCCATTTTTTGCCGTCTCTGCCCTTCCCTGATCTCCATCTTGGAGTGCTCCAGGCACTCAGACCTCTGCTCCATCTCTGCTTATTCCCTGAATGGTGATCTCATTCAACACCTTGATGGTGTTCTCATTCAACGCTATGAACACCATCTATTTGTTGGTGATTATCAAATTTATGTCTGCCACCTAGATTTTTTTCTTGAATTCCAAACTTGTATATCCAATTCCTTTCTTTCTCTTTTTTTTTTTTTTTTTTGTAAAGATAGGATCCCATTATGTTGCCCAGGCTGGCCTCAAACTCCTGGCTCAAGCAATCCTCCTGCCTTGGCCTCCCAAAGTGCTGAAGTTAAAGGTGTGAGTCACTGTGGCCAATTCCCTTTGTGGTTTATCCACCTGTATGTCTAATCCTGGGTTTCTCAAGCTCAGTACTGCTGACATTTTGGGCAGGAAAAATCTTTGTTGTTGGGGGCGGCCTGTTCTGTGCATTATAGTACCTGGCCTCTTCTCATTAAGTATCGTTAGCAATCTACTCGTCCAGTTGTAACAACCAAAAATGTCTCCAGACATTGCCATGCTCCTGGTTCAGAATCACTGGGTTAAAGCAATGTGATAGTCCGTGTGATCTCTGAGTGGTTTTTCTCAAGGCCAACAGAGATACTGTGAACTGGCTTCATTCTTGACTTTGTCTTACTACTCCCTCTCACTTTCTTCCTGACCCACTTGTCCTTCTTCTGGCTGTATCTTGAACTTACCACTAACATTCCTGCCTCAAGGTATCTTCACTGACCGTCCTTTTTCTGGAATACTCTTATCCAAGATATCTTCATGGCCTACTCTCTGTCCTTCTTCAAGTCTTCGTTCAAGTGTCATATTCTCAATGAGCCCCACTTAAATTTACCACTC